TCTCTTGTGAGCAGCTGTCCAAAAAACATGCAGGGGACTTTTTCAAATGCATCCGTGGACGGACTGGGTGACCGGTCAGCACAGTGCTCATAAACATATCTTTTTATGATTGATTTAATTGACATAAACTAATAAAACGTATTTCTTTCGCTGGAAACTTTCTTCATGTGTAACATGATTACATTCAACTTTTTATTTTCAGTGGGCAGCAATATCGAAAAGGCAAGAAAGGAAAATGCAGAGTTTGCAAACAGACTGTGTTGCGTCCTCGTCTGTGCACCTCTCACCAGATGTGCAACACCATGCAAATACTCCACACTCCTAAAAAAGTACTGATTTTGGGGTTAACATGAGTTTCGAAGCACTTATTATAATTCACTGCACCACATCTTATTTTCCATGTGTTGTTGTCCTTCTAATTTTACACTTGACAGTGATACCAAGAACCAGACTATGTGGGGAATGCCCAAATTTTTCACGACATTCAGCATTTTTGGATTTCCTCTTAAAAGTGCTGCTGGCAAACACGACCACTGAATTTGCATTGAGCTTGTCTGTCATGTATGTAGCATTTGATAGAAGTTTGCTAAAGCCCCTACAGTTGTTGTAAGCATCTGAGATTTTGCTTTGTCAGCAAAATTCTTGTAATTCCGGACTGAGTCCATGACGTTGGGATGAGGGCTCTGTGAAGGCCGCTGCAAAACTCCTTGACCTTCTTTTCTCTGCAGAGAGGACTTTATGCCTGTATGTTTGGCTCAGTGCCGTGCTGCAGAGCTAATTCAGAGTTGATGACTCTGATGGTTTTACATGATGGAAATAATGATGTTCTCAAAAAGTTGCAAAGTACTGTCTAATCTTTTTTATTAAATGTGCTGCTCTCCCACGTAATACAAGGCCTTTTCATCAATAGCACAGAAAGACGTGAGACACAAACACTGATAGAAAATATACAGGCAGAGCCAAAGAGTAAGAGGAAGTAAGAGGAGAAGTGGAGAACGGGAGAGCACTTTGCACAAAGGAGAAGGCCGGATTAAGTCATGAGTGGCAAGCGACATAGGTTGGATTTTTAAAGAATGAGATCACATCCCTTTCCCTAAACAGAAGAGGAACTCATCCTTGGTTGGACAGGACAGCCAAGCTGAGTCCCGCCACTGTCTGTCGGTCTCTCTGTATATCTGTGTGCAACAAACGGGACATCCATTACTGCGCTGAGACAGTGGCATGCAGCCCTGGTCCCGCACACAGGAGGCTGCACACATGTCAGCAAGCTGCACACTGTGGCGCACAACCAGTGTGTGTTTGGGTGATTCTGCGTGGGAAGTATTGAGCTTGAGTCGGGCTTTTTCTTAGCGTAAGCATGCATTACATGAATTTTGATGTGTACATACACGCTGATGTGACGACGAGTGTGTTCAGTGATGGCTGTGTAACTGATGCCTTTGTATGTATATATGTGTGATCAGTGCAGTGCACTTTATGTTGATAGAAGCAAGCATATGTGCACATATATTACGTGAAAATTAAGAACGTCTCTTAATAAGTAGCTTTAAGAACTCCTCAAACACAGTGCAGCTCTCCAGTATGTTTCTGTCGGCACTACAAACTAGTAACACACCAACTGCCATAAATTCTGACTCATTCACTCATGACTCATTTGTGAAAAACTTCCAACTTAACTGTATGCCATAGTAAGGGTTCAAAATGCTAAAATGCTAATGATTCTATTAGGCATGCAGTCTCTAGGTAGACTGGTTTGTGGGTAAGTGGACTTTTAACCAAAGATCTGACTCAACAGTCACATTTACTTCACATTAATATGGAGTCTGCAACAAACTGGGCAACATGCTGTCAGAGAAAGACTTGGTAGCTGAGGCTTTGAGGATGAATATAACAGGCATATGCCAATATGTAGCGACACAGACCAAGCTGTGATGCTAGAGGATGCCATCGCCCACGTCCTGCACGCCAGCCTCAGCCACACGGACGAGAAACAGGGCAACACAATAGTGCCCGGTAGACTGTTCACTAAGCTGAGGGATCCAGGACTCAACAGCCATTTGTGTGCTTGGGTGTTGGACTTCCTCATTGGCAGTACTCAGGTGGTGAGGGTGGGTAGATGCGTCTCTAACAGCATCACCATCAACACAGGAGCACCACAGGGGTGTGTCCTCTCGCCACTGCTCTGCGTGGCCACTCATGGCTCCAATAGTTTGCTGACGACACAGTGGTGTTGGGCGCCATCTTCAACAACGATGAGGTGGCCTACATGGATGAAGTGAAGAATCTGGCATCGTGGTGCCAGGATAACCACCTCCAGCTGAACGC